CAAATAAATAATAGGCTTCTGAGAGTCAGAAGTGTAGTGGTTAAGACCCCAAGCCAGAAACCAGGAGATTGTGACCTAGTGCTGCCTTAGGCACCAAGCCAGCTGGATGATCTTAGGCCAGTCACTCTCTCTCAGCCTTAGGAAGCAGGCAATGGCAAACCACTTCTGAAATCTTGCCAAGAAAACTGGAAGGACTTGCCAAGGCAGTCACCAGGAGTCAACACTGACTCGAAGGCCCAATAAAAAGCAAAAAAAGAGGCTTTGCCAAGTCACAGTTTTTGGGTTTAAAGACCAGTCTAAATAAATAAATAGAAATGAGAGTGCTAATATGCTAATGTTGGCTAGAGCATGCTGTCATGTATTTAGATTATTTTCCAAATAAATAATAGACTTCAGCCATGTCACAGTCTTTGTTAGACCTTCAGTTTAGGACAAGTCAGGAAAGAGACAGCATAAGGATTACAGGAATACTATTTATTCCTGTTGGATATGTATTTTATTTTTATTTTTTTTATTTATCACATTTGTATAATCACCCATCTGACACAGTGATTTTGGGCAGCATACATAATAAAACAATCCAATATATAAAAACCATTGAAAGCAACCAATTTAAATTAAAAAAATAAAAAAATGAAACACAAAATGACAGAAAAGCATACAAAACAGTATTGAATCAGCTATCATATATCCATCTAGCTGGCTTCACTCTATCAAGGGATCCACAGGCCAGATGACAGAACCATGTTCTGAGGGCCTTCCAGAAGGCCAACAGGGTTGTGGCCAGCTTCACCTTGGGGGGAGTGATGTTCCACAGGGTGGGGCCACAACAGAAAAGTCTCTCCTCCTAGGTCCCACCCAACAAAATTCCCCGGCTGAGCGGACCCATAACATGCATCTCCCACCAGACCTGATGGGACAGGTAGATGTAACTGAGGAGAGGCGGTTCCTCAAATAACCTTGTCCCATGCACCAGCTGAAATTTCCAGATACTCTTCAAAGGCAACCCCATGTAGAGCATGTTACAGTAGTCCATTCAGGAGGAGACTGGGCATGAGTGACTGAGAGTAGAGCCTCCCGATCCAGTAATGGGCTCAACTGGTGCACAATATGAAGCTGTGTAAATGTCCTCCTGGCCACAACTGCCACCTGCTCTTTGAGTAGGAGTCGTTAACCCAGAAGAACCCCCAGATTGCACACAAGGTCTGTTTGGGGCAGTGCAACCCCATTCATCACCAAAGATGACAAATCCCCAGATACAGAAGGCCCCCAAACCCAAAGCCACTCAGTCATATAATAACAGAATCTTGAAAGTCTGACAGTTTCCCTCTATTCCCTCTTATACCAAACAGACTCAGGTGGGGTTATTTTGAGTTTGTTTCTCAGGCCTTCTATTTTCCAAGGACTGAGTAATTTTTTATTTTTCTTTGCTTGTCCCTGTATACCTTCATCAAGGTTATTTCCTCATCCCCAATGCCCTTATGCTGTAATATGTATATATCAGACAGGACCCAGACATAGAAAGGTGGGTATAGCCTATGAGTGAATTGACCTAAGGAGGAGACCAGTTTGCATTCTATGTTCCTTACTACATGGGGAAAAAAATAAAGCAGATCAGTATATTGAGATGTTTATGCAAACAATATGGGATGTACTGACTTTGTAAGATTTTATGCAGGACTTAAAAGGGAATCAGCAATGGTTTCAGTAGCTAGGTGCCTTCTAAGATATTGCTCTAGGATAGTGGTTCCCAACCTTTTCTATGCCCCATACCCCTAGGAAATGTTTGATTAATGTTTGCACCCCCTACAAAAGTAATATCACATCTGAAGATGAAGAAGTCTAATTTCTAATGCAGGTGAACAAATTGAACTTAAAAAAATAACCTTTTAACTCAGTGCATAAAATTGTCGTACCCCCTGAAATTCCATCTCGCACTCCCTAGGGGTGCGGGCACGCTGGTTTGGGAACCCCTGCTCTAGGAGATACAGTCTGCTTGTATAAGTAAATAGAGTGCAAGAGTAGGCAATCTGATGCCCTTCAGATGTTTGGGCTGCAAAAGCCATAATCTTTTGCTATTGGCTGAGGGCCATACTGGTTAGGGCTCATGGGAACTGAAGCTCAAACATCTGGAGGACACCAGGTTGCCTATTATTACTATAAGAGTTGTAGTTTGAGAAACATAGTCTCTCAATAATTAAATATCCAAGAACTTAAATCCTGCTAACATTTTGTGTGCCTAAACATGTGGAGTCAGTGGAGTATGCCATCTTAATGGAGGCGTGAAGTAGATGGGGTTTTGTTTGTTCATTAATGAAAAAAAGATCTGCCAGCAGAACAGGCCCTTCATACTCACTGACCATATTCTAAATTTGGTCTGGAAGGTTGGGAATTCTCTAGAGAAGATCTAAGGTAGGTGGCAGGGTACAGGATGCTAGAAGGAAAAGGCAAAGAGGGTTCTTGTTGCGTGATCATTAGCTTGCATTATTAGCCCAGAGCAATCAGAGACACTGAGATCCCAGGACAGTGGAAGTCAATGTTGCTGATAGGACTGACAAGCTATAGAATGTGTATGAGCGAATGAATTAAGCCCCAGGTACTGAACAGAAGAATAAAGAATAGATTTGTGGGACAATAACAATATCAGAAGGGTTTTTAACTCTTATGTATAATTTTATCTTTCAGACATGATGAAAATATGAATCTATGGGGGCCAGGGGTCTTTAGGAATCGGATTTTACAATTTAATGTTAGTTGATTTTACAACTATGTTCTTGTTGTATATAATCACTATCATTTTATTCCAAAAAAAGGGGAAAGTTAACACTTAGTACTTGGCTATCTTCACATGTCATTGCATAACAAATATATTCTGCTTAGTTCATCTTGCAAATAGAAGCTCTTTCTAAGCTTTGTAGAGAAAACTTCTGAACTGTATCCTCTGCATCCTCCGATACCTTAATTGCATCACAAATATCTTTACGGCCTTCTTAATTGCATGTTTACTCTTATTTGTTTTTGGTACCATTTTACAGTATGGATCTTATAGTTGAAAAAATAATTGGGGTTGTGTGTGTGTGTGTGTGTGTGTGTATGTATAACTAATTTTTAAATATTGTCTTAAAATTAAGATTTGTGTTTGGCTGTCTTGCTATGTTTGTTCACTAATTGTTGAAAGGAATTTTGATATTGCTGAGGAAGCTCACTTCAGGTTTGTTTCACTAACAAAGATTCGCAAATACCTCTGCTCCTTTGCCTCATCCCTTTAAATTATAACCATATTTATGGATATATCAACCAGAGCTTCCAAGAAGCTTTCTTCATTTGTAGATGAAACCTACAATATTATCCTGTAATGGAAAAAGCCATACAAAGCCTATTACATTCAAGCAAATCACTTAATCCCTTGGCAGAGGATACCCTGATATTCTGAAACCTTCAAATCAAGTAATACAGGCAATACCTTGTTCATCCTAAACCCACTGCCTACCCCAATAGTTTCAAATTCATATAAGCCTGTGGCTAGAAGGTAGTTCTTACCAAGCATTTCATGACTGAGAAAGGAGCAGCGTTAGCGATTCTGTGAGTTCTCAGCTAAACTACGCAACTTGGAATAACCTTATAAAGAGAAGTATATACATAAAATTGCAATGTGAAACCAAATGAATTTGTTGGAAAGGCAAGTCTTCTTCAGGTGATACATGACTATAGAATCTAACATGTGAGGAGAATTGAATGGCTTCACTTTCTCCAAGTCATTCTGGTGATGGTACTGAATTGCTGATCACCACAAGCCCAGCAAGGTTGTCTGCAGTGGAAAGTGTTTGTATATATAAGAAAGATTCCATGTGAGTTGAAAACCTGAAAGTATCAATTTTCAGCTCAAGTAGTTCTAGCTCAAATATTTGAGAAGGCATCTTACTGAAGACAAGTGTGCAGTTCTGATGGATGACACTTGTTTGCTGATGTCATAGCAGAAGCATCTCCTGATAAGGACATAAAGTAGTTTCCAACCTCCACATGATCAGCTCTACATGATCAGCTATTGGGGTTATGTGAAGGTTTGAAGGAATGCTTTGCTTCAACAAAGATTCAAACAAAGCAACCTCTGAAAGCTACTTTGTGAAACAACATGGTCTCCTCACTTTTGAGAGTGAGACAAAGAGAAGCAACCATATTGGTTCACTTTGTTTTGCTTCTGAGCCCTCTGAGTTTTATCTTGTTAAGCTCATGCTATGGGACAAGGCTGAGAAGAGTCTTCCTCTTCAGATGGCCAAAGTACTTCCAGGCTGGGAAGGACTGTGATGTGCAGTGAAGGTGAGCAGACTGGGACCTCCTTTGGTGCATGCCATGAATCTGAAGTTATTTCAATTAAACTTACTTAACTGCAGTTGAAGACTTTGCTATGCCAAGTTTGATCATAAATGGGGAATTTTATTTACAGTGTTTCAAAAAGATGTAGGATCAAACCACTTGTCTTGGAGTACAGGAATTAGAGTTCTTGAAGCCCACATTATATTCTATTTTATGTACAATCCAGTGAACATTCTGAACATTTAAGTTGATGTGAAATTAATGGACCTATTTAAAACTAGTGTTTTATGAGTTGCACTGGCAGTTGGTTATAAAATATTCTTCATCTTTCAGTATAAGAAGTATGTTACTTTTCAGCAAATATTCCAGAAAAGTCTCATTTATACCTTGTTTTTTATCATTTTTAACAAGCAATGATGCATAGTTTAGCACTATCCTGAGTGAATATTGGCCTTCTCAATGAATGTGAGAATGCAAGATAAAGATCCCTCTGTGCTTTAAGAAACTTATAAAAACTTTCCTCTTAAGCTAAAAAAAAAATGTATTTACTGTATGGTGTGATACAGAACATTCATTTAACACACACTCACACATGCACACATATACAGCATTCCAAAAGTAACATTACACAAACACAATTATTTAGTTATTCTAACTAAAGTATTTCCCTTTCCATTTCCTCCTAGGCTGTTGATATACTTCTACAACATGGTGCTTATGTTAATGTTCAAGATGCAGTTTTTTTCACCCCTTTACACATTGCAGCATATTATGGTCATGAACAGGTATCGCAAAAGTTGTCACTGTTTGGTCGTAGATGGGGACTTTTACGTGCAGCGTGTTTAAGAAAGTGACATGGCCATGGGTTTACCCCACACATGCATTTGAAATAAATTTCATTTGAAATAAGCAATTTCAACCTTTCTTGCAATAGCTCAAGAGATGCTGGGACCCAGGCCCTGAAGTTCTGAGATTGGATCCCACTCATAACTCCTAAAATGCTGTCACAAATGGCTGCTTAGAATAATCTTGTTCTCTCAGTCAGTAGGTGGGCACCCTACCCCTTGCTTCCATTGTTATGGAGTCCTAATCAATAGTGCCATTCAGAACAATAGAGCGTGGATAGTAAGTGAGGGCCACTGCTCATTGTTCTTGCTGCTGATGATGTTTGACTCTCTGTGATATGCATTCATGCTAGAAGAAGAATATGGTATTTAATAACACCCAGGAACCTTGGGATCTTGCTTGACTATACAGACAAGTTCTTTAGGCACTGTATATTTCCTGTGGTGCTGAAATGCTACCTAGATAAAAACAGAGAACCATCCAGAAGTAATCTGAAAAGTGAAACCTACAAAACAGGCAGCTGAAAAGAATCTAATCATGCATTCAGTTACAGTAACGGTATGTGCAATGTTTGCTTTTCTGGAATGCTTCTCTTTGTGATTTATATAATTCAACTCATCCAGTTACATTAGAAAGATCTTTATGTGTAGGACTTTGAGGCTGATTTACTTTGTTTTGGTATAAGTTGCTTTGGAACAAATAGTCACAGTTGGTGAAATTATGCTAAAATGCATATGGTGCTTTTATGATAAGAGTTTTGGCTTTAGAATGTAAAGTATAGCTAATTTCTGGGCAGTTGATTTTATTTTACTATTTAGATCAGTAAGTAAACTAATAAGCTGTTGCCAGCTCTTACTGTGTCATTTTTTTTAAAGGAATGGGGACTCCACCTGTATTAAATAGTCTGCCAACATGCAATTTCATTATAAGTCAAGACTACCAATCTTGATTCTCATGATAACTGTTAAATGCAGTATAACATCGTTTTGATGTTACAAGAAAGAACAGTCCCTAATACTAAGGCATGTAATAATACATTTTCTTTTGATTTCATAGAAAATGTAAATATAGCTTTCAAATGCCATGCTGACTTATAAAATATTGTCAGGTAACCCGACTCTTGTTGAAATTTGGTGCTGATGTGAACGTGAGTGGAGAAGTTGGAGACAGGCCTCTTCACTTAGCTTCAGCCAAAGGATTTCTCAATATTGCAAAGCTTTTGATGGAGGAGGGCAGCAAAGCAGATGGTAAGTTATTAGAAATATAATATTGATGTTGTGTTTTAGAGATCTCCAATTCATAATATATCTGATTTCTTAAATCTATATGTGAATTGCAATAGTTCTATTCACTACAGTTTCTGGCCATATACTTCCTTCCTGTGGTTCTTTTCTTTCTAACTTGTCTTGATATTCTTCTACTCTTCTTCTTTTGACTTTCTGATGAGATTGTTGCATTAGCTTCTACAGTATATGCTTTGTTCTCTCTGCAAACTGAGCCACTGAGGTAACAGCAAAAAAGGTTTAGACCAGACTAGGGCCACTGTATCTGAGCTTCAAAGATTCAGAGAAGCATAATATGCAGCAGAGTTAGATTAATCTGTTCCTCTTTGCTGCTGTCTGGTGCTTTTCTGGATTTTGGCAAGCCAGAAATCTTAGCCTTATATCAAACCAACTCAGCCAATGCCAGTCCATGATCTTTTTCAGTGACACCAGGACTACATCACCATCATCAAACCGCCTGACCTCTACAAAATTCCTTGGGATATTAAATATTTGGGATTGAATTATTCTGCTTTGTTGACTTATTTTTACACAATAATGGTATCTTATTTGTAAAGCACCATTAATGTAAACTGTAAAGTAACCAGAGACAGAAGAGGAAACAAGCAGGTACTCAAAAATTCTAAATTGCAATCTAAATGTCACCAATGGTAGACAATGCATTAGAGGACAAGAAGAAAAATAAGCAGGATAAACATAGTCAAGTGCAGATTCAGTTCAGTAAATAATTTGTTTAGAATATATTTAGGACTACCAGATCTGGGCTGCAAAAATCAATGTTAATATAGAGTTTTGCAGAAAACTCTAACTCATCCTAGATACGATAGCCCAAATACAATATCAGATCAGGCCATTTGTCCATCAGCCCAACGTTGTCTATTTTGGTTGGCAGCTGCTTGGCAGCCTCAAACTAAGTTTGCATCGTGTACTATTTAAATCCTTTTTAACTGGGTTGACCAGGAATCTTCTGTAAAGAAAACATAAGCTGTATCTCTGAACTATACTACTATCACTTCTCTGGGGAGGCCAAAAGTCTGAAGGAGTCTGGTAGCACCTTTTCAGATGAATATATTTTATTAAAAGGCATAACCTGTTGTGAACTACAGCCCACTTTGTCAGATGCATGCAGTGGCTCAACTGATGTTGGATTTAAATTGGGGTGAAGTGGAAGGAAAAAGCAGGGAGGGAGCTTTAATGGTGTCTCTGGGGAAGGTGCATTAAAGATTATTTAACCAAAGGCTTCCCAGAAAAGCTGACTTTTCAGAGAAGTTTTGAAGAAAAAGAGAAGAGTGGCCACAAATAGCCACTCTTTGCGACCTCTTTCTTGCGAGGTAGTTCTAGACACAAAAGGATTACTGGAGAATTGGTAGCAATCTTTAACAAGGAAGATGGTGGAGCTGATCTCTATGACCACCATTCTGCTATTGTAGTGGGGGGTTTTTTGCAGAAAGAAAGGGCATGGTGTTCATTTAGGAGTTTCACTCTTTCTGTCTGGTATCTTGCACCTCTTTCCATAGCAAACAGACCTTGATTAGATGCATTTGCCTCTAGAATGGAGATGCAGCATCCGTTTTTGCTGCTTCAGTGCTGTCTCTGCAGCTGCTGAAAAGACAGCATCTGCGCTGGTGTCTTTAAAAAAAACAAACCCAATACTTTTACTCTTCAACCACTTGCTTAATAGAGAATTTCATCACTTACATAGCTAGTCAGTCTGTGACTCCATCTTCGGTAACTGCCCTTTTTATATTAAATATGCTGATTCAGGAAAGATTCCTGTGGGACCAACATCCATGTAATTTTCTTGGCAACAGTACAAAAATGGTTTCCCATTGCTTTCTTCCAGACATATTTAACTTTTCAGTGTAGCCTGCAACCATGGAATGTTGCCAAGGTCTCTCAGCCAAGTACTAACCAAGCCTGACCCTACTCAGATATTTTCTTAAAAGACTTCTCCAGTTTTTCCCAGACCACCCTGAAGCTTTGGTCTTCCCATTCTTCTGCTCCTTGTTTTTGTAGTATCATTCTGCCGTGTCAGATTGGAACTCACAGTGGTATATTCTCTTCCTACTCAATAGTACTGTCGGTATGAATTTAACATATTCTCTGTGAGTTCTGAATATATTACATATCTCCTACTCCTTCATTAAAAACTGTAGGAGCAGCATGACTCAGATTTGTAAGTAATTCTTTTTTCAACCAAGAGTCCTTGATATTTAAAGCTTGATGTGTGTGCACTGAACCAGTATAATTATAATACCAGGAGATGGGGGAAGAATAGAAGAAGAGAAGATATGTTCACCCACCATACCAGGTTAAAAAAAAAAGGTCTTGTTACCAGTTTGTTAGTGTATTCCTAAAGAGAAGAAATCAGGACATTTTTACAGATGATATATTTTAAAAGAAAAGAGGGAGAATGAAGCAAGGAAGCTAGAAGATGAAAATGTTGTATTCTCAAAGCATCATATCTAACACTTCAGATCTCCATGGCAACTGAGGACAAAATTGCAAGCTTTAAATGAAGAAAAATAATTTATTATTTACAATTAGCCTTTGAAATTCACACACACATTGCTTCAGTACTTTGACCTACCTGGTATAACATGTGTTGACTGGTCAGCCATTTAAGGCCAACCTTTCAGATCCAGAAAACCAAGAAATAGGACCAAATGCTATTGAAGCAGGACAAAAAGGTCCAAATGTTGCCAAATGGGACTAAACATTTGCACAATGAAAAGCGGTGTCAAGGGTTTCCTTCTCTTTTTCCTCTTGGGAAAAAATCATAAGGATTTTGTCACAAACACCTTGGCCACCCATTTTTAAACAACGGTTGGGAATTTTAACTAAAAATTATTCTAGCAACAGTGCTTAAGAGTCTGACTGTGAGAAAGAAGGAAGGATGCTTAGGAGGGGATATGTTAGGGGCCTATGACTTCTATCTTCATCTGGTCCAGATTGCAGTGGTGTGGGCAGTGAAGGGCATGCCTCAGTATGCCCATGTAACACTTCTGCTTTGCAAGCTGCATTGGTTGTCAGTTTGCGTCTGGGTACAATTCGAGGTGCTGGTCACTACCTATAAAGTCCTACATGGCATAAGGCCTGGTTACTTGAGGGACCGCCTGTCTCCCAAAGTATCTGCCCAGCTGATCTGATATGGCAGGATTAGCACACTCCAAGTTCCTTCAATTAAACAATGCCATCTATTGGGACCCCAGAGGTATGCCGTCTCTGTAGGAGTGCCTACCCTCTGGAATGAGATTCCCCTGAGATTCAAATGGTCCCCACCCTACTGGTATATCGAAGGCTCCTGAAGACTGGCTCTTTGCCTAGGCCTTTGGCAAGTGTGATTGAATCCCCTTTTCTTTGTTCCCATCCTGGTTCTTTATTTCTGCCATCTTTGCTTTTTTTTTTTTTTTTTGCTTTGTGTGTTTTCTTGTTTTAAATGTTTTTAACAATTTGTAAACCACTCAGAATCACTAGGAGTTGGGTGGCATATAAATTTAATCAATCATCATCATCACCACCACCATCATCTTTGCTGGGCCCTAGTTCTTAATTTCTGTCCCATTCATCCTGGTTTAAATTAGATGTGGCAGAATGTCTAAATGGAAGGAATTATTTTTTCAGCTGCTTTCTAAATCTTCAGCAGTGAACCCAAAAAGAAGAAACGACAGAGATTTGGGCATGAAAAATATTTCTACTGACAAAGATTTAGTAAATTACTGAAATACGGTTTAGATGCTTGCATGATTGTGGACTGCTTTTCTTTTTCAAATGGGTGAAAGTTGATTTCTTCTCTCCAACAGAGTCACAGGACTCTTCAAAGTAACCATTATTGCGTGTATACTTTGGGGGAAGGTGGGTTGAGTAGACAAAAGAATCTATTTCTAATTCATGTCACTTTTACATATATTGCTTTTACCAACCTGTTCCATTCCATTAATTTGTGTCTCACGTTAAAATTTACATTTAATTTCATATTTTAGATGCATTTTCAAAAATCCTGAGCGAAGAAAAACAATATCAGATATTCATAAATTATACAAACCACTAGATAAGTTTGTATAGGCACACATTCCTATATGCACATTAACCCAGAAGATACAGATCTGATTGAGTTTTATTAGAATTTTTAAAGTCTTAATTTCTCAATAGAATATTGCTTGCAAATTTGAATCTAGCCAATGCAGAAGAATGTTTTAACACTAGTTTTTCAAATGTGCTTGTTGAATGATTAAAGCAAAAGATGTCTGAATGGATGATGCTCAATTATCATAGTGTCCTCAATCTCCAAAGAGAATAGTGACAGCCCAGAGGGTTCTTCACCTTCAACTCTAAAAGAACAGATATATATATAATGCCACCTACCTGTGTAATTTCCAACAATTACTAAACCTCAGCCTGAATGAGGAATAATCCTGGCCTAAGAACTGCACCATCAGAGAAAGACCAGCTCCTTTTTCAGAGTATTCCTTAAGAATCAGGTGAACAATTTCAACTCACTTTCAATTTGCTATATTTACTAAAGAATAAAGCAGAGAGAAATCAGAAGTAGTTAGTTTCAACTGAAATCAAATAAAACTAAACTAAAGCACTGCTAACTAAAGCTTACCAAACTAAATACCTAATTTATCAAGGACCTTAACCTTTGAAAATACTGACAAAGTGATTCACCAAACAGGATTTTAGAGTCCTAGGGCTTCCCTGAGCTTGGTTGTTTTCTTGCAGACATTTCATTACCAGGCTAGGTAACACCTTCAGTGCTAGAAGGGAGTAAAGTTTCCTCTCTGTTTATATACAGTAGCTTGCCCTGTCAGTACTGGAGAGGGTGATGTTTTTTCTTTTGTAGTTATAATCTAAAAACTAATGTTTTTTCTTTGGTAGTATTAATCTAGGAACTACTGTTTTTTCTTTGGTAGTCCTAATCTAGAAGCTACTGTTTTCTCTTTGGTAGTTCTAATCTAGAA